TTCCTAACCTTTTCTCCTTTAATACTCCACCTCAAACACTTCTAACTTAAATTTTTCCGCAGGATCCACCATCCACATGTATGAATAATGGGCAATTTCTCCTCCAGCGTCCCCTGTTTTCCTACTCATTCCAATACTTCCTCATTCCTAACCTTTTCTCCTTTAATACTCCACCTCAAACACTTCTAACTTAAATTTTTCCGCAGGATCCACCATCCACATGTATGAATAATGGGCAATTTCTCCTCCAGCGTCCCCTGTTTTCCTACTCATTCCAATACTTCCTCATTCCTAACCTTTTCTCCTTTAATACTCCACCTCAAACACTTCTAACTTAAATTTTTCCGCAGGATCCACCATCCACATGTATGAATAATGGGCAATTTCTCCTCCAGCGTCCCCTGTTTTCCTACTCATTCCAATACTTCCTCATTCCTAACCTTTTCTCCTTTAATACTCCACCTCAAACACTTCTAACTTAAACTTTTCCGCAGAATCCACCATCCACATGTATAAGAATAATGGACAATTTATCCCCTATTTCTCTCACAGCGCCCGCTGTTTTCATAATATTTCCAATACTTTCTCATTCCTAACCTTTCATCCTGTAATATTCCACATCGAACACTTCTAACTTGAACTTTTCCTCGGGATTCACCATCCACATGTGGACTTTCAATGGGCAATTTCTTAATTCTTTACAATTAAATCCTTTCGTTAAAGGTTTTAGAATGAACTTCCCCCTCCGTTCCCTCATTAGTCCAACCTGTGGGAAGGAACTTTGACCTTTGCATTAATATATATGGATATTATCGTAAAGCCTTTATACCAATACGTGTAAGGCAATGGATATTTGGTTCTATGGATGTTAAATGTATGATTAATGCTTTTGATTAGACGTCTCCATTTCTTTATATCCTGCGGTAGCTCTTCCCCCCGGTGCAATGTCATGTCACTATTCTTCAAGATCATCCCAGCTTCGTTTGCCGATGTGTACCTTGGTCTCCCTCTGTTTTTCCTCTTTATTATCCCAATTTCCCATACTTTCCTTATTTGTCTCTCTCTATTCATTCTGCTCACATGCCCGAACCGCCTCAGCTGATTTTGCTCTATAATGTTTTATATTGGACAAATTCTTAGTTCTTGCCGGATGTCCATGTTTCTTATTCTGTCTAGTCTTGTTGCTCCTTGTACGTCTCTGAGATATTTCATGCCCATAGCATGTAGTTTTCTTTTTTGGCTCGTTGATAACACCCATGTTTCCTAACCGAAGGTGAGTACTTCCGAATTTTAGTTTTGTCTACGTTGATGTTCATATTCATTCCTTGTAGCTCTTCATTCCAGATATTTACGTTAAATTGCATTTGGCGCTTACTCTTGGTAAATATTGCTAAATTGCTTCCGCTCTCCCATTACTCCAATCATAGGAAGCAGCCTTGACCTTCACGTTAATATTGCACAAATAACTTTAAAATTGGAGGTTATGTTTTCTGTATTGTTCTAATTTATTATTCTCAACAGTGAAATAACGTCCATTTGGAAAACCTAATGTTTTATTCCTAAGTATAATTTAAAATTTAATGCCTATTGCGGATGGACTTTAATACTTCACAATTTTTTTAGTATTAGTATCAATCTAACCTCACTTAAAGACATGTAGTATACATATAACGCACTCGCCCTACTTTTATGGGGTATGTAAGTGGTGTAAACCCTGAAAAAACTAAAAACTAATTCTTCACAATTACATACTGTAAATTTGATCATTTTTCGTTGGTAATGTGTACCCAACTATCTAAACCTGCCTCTTTGGTTATTTATTCAATAAAAATTATTTATCATTATACCACCATATTCAGATATTGTTTGTTTAAAATAGATGAGCATCTGTTTTAAAACAATAGCGTCCAATGTGTGTTTAACAATCAATATCAAACCACCACTGGTAATATTGCACACAAGTGCACATGTAGATATAGTCCATGTAATAACACAAACCTATAAATACAAGTTGCGCGTAACGTTTAGCACACCTTATCGATAATTAAATGTACACGGGAGGTTCGAAGTTTGTTTATTTATTAGATCATTTTTTTATTAGACCAGTAAACCGTTGTTTGAGTTTAGTTAAGATGGCTTATTGTAAAGACAGTCTTCCAATTGGTAACTTCACGTTAAAGGGTGCATTGCATGACGTGGATGATACAACATTCGGTATGTACTTTTAAATCTTCTTTTTGTTAATTACCATTTGTGAAAAGATTTGGCACAGTTCAATAAAATGAATTTTTTACTTTGTAATTAGCTAATATGAATGATAACTTCTGCAAGATATTCTACATTATAAAATTTAACAAATCATAAGGTAAATATTTCTATTAGGATTAGTTAGGTTATATTTCACTTGCAGCAAGAGCGACCTCTGTTGGTATTGATTATACCATTTCCTTTTCATGTAAGATTTAAAGTTGGATGATGTGAAATTTTAAAGATGACGATAAGTGGAATTTTTTTAGTATGTTGTTTGGGTTTATTATTGTATTCCGTTGGGATAAATAACCCCTTAAAGTACGACAATTACTTTAAAGCTTTTAAAAAATGACAGGTTTCCGGTTTAGTCTTGCTCTCCGTATGCAGAATAACTAGAACAATTGGTTCAACTTTTGCTAGAATTCGTCAACAAAAACAATGATTTCTTGAGTAGGAAATGCGTTGTAATTGTTGAGTTTTACTGCAAATTTTTATAAACAGATAACAATTAGTTACGGATTCTTGTCATTTAAAACGTTTACAATGGATAGGCAAAAACGGAAAGCGCTACTATAAGCTCTATTAAAGGGAAAGAAAAGAAAGAAATGCCTTTCACCAGGTTCTAACTATCTCGCTATTGTTAGCATAGTTTATAATATTGTATCGAATTTCTACTAGGTATAACTTTATTTATGTATATAAACATGTTTTGTATACAAGCAGATTATTTTCCACAATAACGCTATATAGGCACTTATTCATATTCTTAAACGCTTTATCTGACACTGAACTTATGTCACCCTGTATTACTTTGGATTCGCTTCTAAACGTGTTTCTAAATAATGTGTTGTATCAAACATTTAAATTCACCTTTTTATAGTAAATGGCAAATGGTACAGTCAAAATGCAACTTAAATATATTAAATTGACTATAAGTCCTTTTTTATCCCACTCATTTCCTAGAAAAAGTCACACGTATATGTATGTATCTGGTGCTTACGTAATTATTTCAAGATTGCTTATATTAAGTATCTGCCTTTGATTGCCTGTTCGTTATATTTTAATTAACACTTACGATTAGCACCGGGTTATATTATAGATGATAACATAACTCTTAACTGCCGCTCACCACAATTATGGAATTTATGTCTGCCTTTAATTATAATCTAAAGATAATTTCTGTGAAGTCACAATAAAAATTGCTCTTCACATTACGTAATTAAAAGTTAAACTATAAAACGGTCAATTCGTACAAAAAAACAGAAATATAGCTTAAATCTTAAAATTAGAAAAGAGAGAAAAAATAAGATTTATTGATAATTACGGCTAGCTGCGATCGTCTTCGAACGACCAAGGCTTGTAGAGGTCGTTTTCGGACATTGATCCTTACACATATACCTATTAATTTTAACAAAAGTTCGTTTTAAAATGAGAGATTTCCAAAAAAAATTTCGATAATAAGTCATCACCGAGGCAGAAGTTACATATGCATACAGTGAAGACACCTGGATTCGAACAAATTCATTTAAAATTCAGGGGTTTCCCCAGACAAAAAGTTTCAGTCTCTCAGAGTTTTTCGGCGTCTCTGAGAGCGTCTCTCAGTTATTGCCTAGGTGTTTTTATGGATCTCTGAAAAATTAAGAGACTCGAATCTCTTGTAGAAAGATTGGGATCTCTGAAATATGTTGAACTTGGAAACTTTTAACCATGTCTATCGAGACACCAGTTATTGAGAGATTCGAGTCTCTCGTTCAGAGACTGGATACGAAATGAGGATCTGTCTATAACCGACTGGGGACGCTAAACAGTTTTTTTGACAGTCTCTCTCAGCGACACCAGAGTGACTCGATGAAAGACGGAACCCCGAGTCTCGCCTTCAGAGACTTTTATCTCGGGTTGTTTTTTGGAGGACGCCGGTTCGATTCCGGATCCGTCTGCCTTGGCCCAAGTGCTGGGGCAGGAATATACTATACATAATTTTTTATTCTCTTCGTCAATCTCATCGTTCTCGCCCCAAGCACCGCCCTCTTGAAGGGAGGCTGCAGAAGGTATGGAAGGAGAAGCGTTATCGTATCACCAGCTAGGTCTCCGGACTTGATCCCACTAGATTTTTATCAATGGATTTATCTGAAATCTAAAGTCTACTTCAGTAAACAGGAAAGTGTTAAATAATGAAAGAATAGAATTAGAGCTGAAATACGACAAATCCAATCACAAACCTTAACTAAAGTGTTACGAAACTTGCCTATTGATAGGAAGTTAATAGGCAGCCATTTAAACATTTGATTAAATAATTTGTTGTTCTATTGTTTAATAAAATTCGAAAAAACAACTTCAATTTTAAATAGGTTTATTTAAATATGTTCAAAAAGGACATGGTGCATGAAGCATAGTTAAAATTCGATGCACAATTCAAAAATGTAATAAAAAATAGAAAATTCCATTTGAAAAAATAAATTCGGTGGTAGTTGCTTATTTTTGGGTCAACCTGTATACGTGAATTTACCATGACGTGTCCAAGTGCTTTTTGGTCAAAAAATGGCCCAATAATCCGCTGTTTCTTCCATTAATATCGAAAAATGGGACATTTCGAGCTCGTTAAAGATTATCAAAGTTCAAACTGATTGAAAGATAACACTGGCCAACAAAAGAAAAAAAAAATGTTTGTTTCCTGTAATTTTTTTTTTGTTTCTAACTCATTTTGGCGAAAATTTTTTAAATATGGCAATAATTTTCTGTAACAGCTTTTCTTTTTGAGTTATAGGTAACTACCCTCATTTACCAATTTTGTTTAGATTTTTGTGTTTTGTCGATTACTAAAATATATTTTATTGTTGTTTTCGATGTGACTTACCCAAGAAGATGTTTTTTACATAATCCAAACTGTTTTTGCTTTATATATGGTGAACATATTTCGAAAAACATTGAAAACCTATATCGTACTTCGTGAAAACTGCGTATCTTCAATACTTTAAAATAGAATTGTGCTATCAAGATAAGCCATGGGTTCCTCATATAGTATGCCAGAAATGTGTTGTATGTCTACGATTGTGGTCCTATGGAAAAATGGATGCAATAATTTTCTAACCCATGATTTGGTGAGAACCTCGAAATCACCATGACGTCTGCTACTTCTGCGTTATGAAAATAAATGGAATTAATGGTCGTATCCTAATATACCTTGTGCTCTATGACCTCAACTGAAATCACGAGAGGTACAATCTAGCAAATCTAAAGACCCTTATACTTAAACTTGGTATAATGAAACAGTTTGTGAAGGCGTTTGACAAAAGTGGTGAATGTTTCAATTTTTTTTTTCACGCAAGTTTCCAGGATTAAGTAATGAAAAAGCAGGAATTTTTGATGGGTCACAAATTAAGCAACTCGTGAAAGATTCCAATATTATCAAAGTAATGACGTAAGTGAGATCGAAAGCATGGAATTCATTTGTTTTAGTTATGAGTAACTTTTTAGAGAACAAGAAATCTGACAATTATGTTGAGCTCGTTGAGTACATGCTTTCGAATTTACAAGAGCTAAGATGTAACATGAGCATTAAAATTCACTTCCTACACTCACATTTAGATCGATTCCCACAAAATCTGGGCGATTTTAGTGAAGAGCGGGGTGAAAGTTTTCATCAGGATATACGGACAATGGAAAAGCGTTATCAAGGAAGGTGGGACTCCCATATGATGGCCGACTACTGTTGGAGTTTGCAACGAGACCAACCTGGTGTCGTTCATTTAAGGAAATCGTCTTAAAGATCATTTGATAGTGTAGAATAGAAATTTTGCTTACATGTATAGTAATTATTTTGTATTAGTTAGTCGAAACAGTAAAATTTTATATTTCAAAAAGTAAAGCTGTTGGTAATCATCCAATATTTTTTTCATAATCAGGGCTATATAAATACCCAATAAAAGTAAAAAAAATTAAGGAAACAAAAATGGTGTTGACCAGTGTAATTTAATTGTCTACAACGAAAAGTGCCTATACCAAATTATATAATAGTTTTTTTACTCAAAAGCTAGAAAAGTAGTAATTTCTTAACTAAACTTGCAATTATTTCAGAAACGATTATTACATAATTTGATATAACCCTATTGTAGATACAAAATTTTATACGTAGAAAGAAACAGAATTCCACGCTGACGAACTAGCAAATAAAAGCTAGTGTTACATAACTGAGCACACATGCATATGCCTATGACGTTTTTATATTTGGCTATATCAGGTCCAATTTTAATCATTAGCAGCTTCCTGTGAATTTCTCCAGTAGATAACAATCTGACTGCATTATTTTAAGTCGACTTATTCGTTAATATCCTCACGGCTCATCTGTGCTGTTCTGAAGTGATATTTTCTGTTACACTAGGCCAGTCTAACTTATCGATCGTTTTTGGTAAGCTTTCTTTAAATTTCATTGTAATTAATTTAATAATAATGGTGATAAATAGTTGCAACTTAATATGATTTTATAGAAATAGATTTCAACTTCAGATTTTATTAAAAAACTATATTGTTTTATACTCAACTTATTACGCTATCCAAACTATTATTGAAGTTACCGCGTTCCATCATTGTAAATACATTCACAAAAATTAACTTTATATTTCTCAACCCTAAATTCCGTAGTCTTTATTTTCCTTATCTTGTCCTATTTTATATTTCCGTTACATTTATTTTTTTCTCTTTTCTATACTATTCCTTTCAATAGGTTCAAAAAATTTGCGTTTTTCTTAATTATTTTTCTCTAACACATTAGCCCCTTTTCTACCTCCTAATTATGCCTGTTCTTCATATTTTCTCTGAAATATCTGCGTTTCTTCTTTTTTACTATTTCTTCTTTTTCCTCATCCCACATCCACACTACCTTATTTATTATTATCTTCTTATATTTAACTTTAACCGCATTATTCACTTTCTTTCTCTCCTATTTTACCATTTGTTCCAACCTTTTC